CATCCTTCCAGCTCGGTCGGTCGGTCGCTCTCTCTTTACCCTCAATGTGAAGCATAGAAAAATGAAGAGGTGCAGCCGGGCTGCCCGCGGCAGGGGATGAGCTCTGAGAGGGAGAAAATGACCGAGGAAACCCACCCAGACGAGTAAGTGTCCGACGAGCAGAAGGGGGGAGGGGGCGCATGCATGTAAACATCTGGCGAGGGGAGGTGCTCGATGTGGTCGTGGCGAGCTTTTCTCTGTAGCCGCGTTGCCCCTGGTCCCTGGGTGATCTCAGAAGAAATGCAAGCTGTGCGCCTATCCCATGTCTGGGTCGCCTCGCCGGGAGCCCTTGGCTTCCCAGCGCCCCACTTCTCGGTGCTGCTGGAGACGTTGGCGCAGGGCGTGCAGCGCCCCAGTTCTGCAGCCTGCTGTGTTTGGAGAGGGAATGTTGCACAGGGGGAGAGAAGGCGTACAGAAGTATTGATGGACTTTCTCGGGATCCGTTTAGGACGAGTTTTTCCCCTTTCTCATCTGCGTTCCTCTTCATGCTGCTCGCTCTGTAAGCTTGAGGGTCAATATTGACGCCGGTCCCCCCTTTCTCTGCCACCCCTTGCACCCACTTCTCACTTCTCCCCTGCCTAGTGGGTTTTTTTTTTTTTGCAGCATTCACATCCGCCATTTCTTTTCTTTTTTTTTCTTGACTTGCTCTCATTTGCATACCACATTTCCATTCATAAAAAACACCATCCGAGGCCAGGAGTCTGCTCGGACCGTGGGAGAGAGCCACCTCGGCAGGGGGGAGGGAAAAGGTTTGATCGCTGTTGCAAGGCGGGTTTGGGCTGCCAGATGGAGGGAGGGGGGCTTCGGGTCTCCTTTCTCCTCCACCCCCCGCGCGGCGGCGGGGGAGCGAATCGCAACGGTGCTTGCCTGGCTGGGCCTTGGCTGACTCTGAAGCTGCCCTGGGGGGAAGGGGGTGGGGGAGAGAATTTTAGGCACGGCCGCCTTGCTGCTTCCAGCTCATTGTTAGCCCTGCAGCCGCTCGGGGACGTCGCTTGTGCTGGGAGAGTGGGAACTGCAGAAAGGGGGGGGAGGGGGGGCGGCGGCCGCGGAGGCAGCGGGCGAAACCATTAATGATCGTCTTCGCCCGTAAAAGTTTGTTAACTTCCAGCCAAATCCATCTCGACGTGCTTCCAGTTACGCTTAATCTCCCCACCGCCGCGCCTCTCCTTTGAGGCACGGCGTTCTTTAAAATTGCCTGTGTGGCGGGGTGGGGCTTCTTGGGCGACGGGTGGCAAAAGGTGACCTGGCTCGCCCGCAAGGGGTATAACTCGCTCTCGCTGCCTGACTCGGGCTAAGCTGTTTTGGCTCCCTCCGGCTGCATGTGGCTGGATTCTTTTCTCCCCTTTTTTGTGAATAAGACAGGTTCCCGTTGTTGTCACATGATCCTGACATTCATAAATCCGGTAACCTTCAGCCTTCGTTCATTCACTCGCTCGCTGGCGCTGCTGGCCTGTCCTTACCTTTCTTGAATTGCTGGCGAAACGTGGGGGAGGGGGAGTAAGAAACACTTCTGAAAGATTAGGAAATGGCTTTTCTCTAAATAGTCCTCGTCGCTGAAAAGAAACCATCTCTTCCATTCTGGAAATGGGAAGTGACTCACATTTTTTTCTTGTTTTTCTAAGGCAAGGCTTGAGGGTGAAGGTTTAAAATGCACATCCGTGGAGAGGATGTAGCTGTTGCTAATTCAGTTTTGTGGAAATGGGGGTGGGGGTAGAGCCAGAGGGAAAGAGCAACTCTTACATAAATGCCTTTGCCAGTGGATGGTGGAGTTTGACAAAGATGGACTATTTCGGAATATTTTAGACGGCTTCAATATTCCTTGCACCTGCAATCTGTATATAATCTGCAGCTGCCACACAGCTGTGAGCCCAGCATTGAGAAGCATAAAAATAAAAAGAACATGGCCTTTCATACTAGAAACAGAGCAGGACCGAGTTTGCTAAGCTAAAATGCAGATGACTGCTTTGTGGCTTGTGTGTGATACATTTATGGTTCAATATAGTGTGTGAATCTGGGCAACTGGACTAATTCAGTGAACAGTAGTTAAACGTAAGAGCCAGTTAGGTGCAGAGGATAAGGCACCAGGCTAGACACTGGGAGGCCGTGAGTTCTAGTCCTGCCTGAGGCACAAAGCCAGCTGGGTGGCTTTGGGCCAGTCGCTCTCTCCCAGCTGAGGAAGAAGCAGGCCAGGGCAAACCACTTCTGAAAAACCTTGCCAAGAAAACTGCAGGTTCTAGTCGAGGCAGTTGCCAGGAGTCAAACACTGACTTGAAGGCAACATGAGCACACAAAAGTTAAATGAACCACGAGTCCTGTGTTGTGTGAGCACAGCCCAAGTGAGACAAAACGGGTTCTGGGCCTGAAATCATACAAGATCTTGTTGTCAATAGGCTGTCCAGTCTTGTTCACAATGCTCTTAGCTGCTCCCCAGCAAGCATGTTTAGGCTGCAGTTTGCAGCATTCAGATTCTGGACATAGTGACTTGGGTACATGACTTCTGGATCGACTTAGAGAATAGCAGTTTTTAGACTAGTTTGTCTTAGAAAAACTGAAACTGAAAAATGCTCATAGAAGACAGCTTAGAAATCCTGGCTCTGTATCTCCCACTTGTTACTTCCCTCTTTTTCTCCCCTCTTCCTACCACCAAAGTGAGAAATGTGGGAACAACTGGAACTTCTGAGCTGAAAAAAAGCGATGTAGTGAGCAGTGCAGTCTGTGAGGCTGAAAAGTGAAGTCCTTGTATTTATTCCTAGTTCCTAGTGTGGTATATTTTAATGCTGTAGTATATTTTGGTGTTGTACTGCCATATTGTAAATTTGGAACTGAAAGATAGTTTGCAGCTAGAAAATAAAGGCTGATAATAAATCCAAACATTTTCTGTGGATAGCTGCCTTGATTTTTCAGCTGAACAGTCTCCTTGCAAAGCGTACCTGAGACTGTAGCAAAAGTAATAATTTCTGGTTAATAGTTGTTAAATAGTTTTTACTTACCCTGGTGGTTTACTCCTAAGCTGAAGCTAGTGCTTGTTGGAGCAAAGTCATGTAATATTGCATCTACTTGTATGCAGGTAAATGTAGCCTAAATGAAGGGCTAAATAAAATATTGAAACCTGTGAATATAATACTTCAGCAAGGTGCTTATGTTGTATTTTATGTTTTAGCAAAAGCCACAGGTTTGGGCAACATCCATACAACATGCTACATATTTTGTGGGGCCAAGATAACTGCAAAGTTCCTTGACTCTTTTCTAGGGGGCACTTTGACACAAACCTGTTTGGCATGGATACAGGATGAGGATATAAACAATAGCCTAGTCATTTCCACCTATGGCAAGAACTATTTTAATCCTGGCAACAGCAACTTTGGAGGTTTGTCTGCTTTAAGTCACAATTTTTAGCATTTGTTTATAATACAGAATATTAATAATTATGTAATAAAAACATATAAATCCAACTCCCAGGAATGGTAAAATCAGGATGAGCAGATTTGTACAGCAGCAAAGGGCTGTATTGACAATGCATAATGAACGAGTGGGCTACAGCTATCTTACATTGTGTGTTTTTAATATTACCTTTTTGGTACCATAAATGTGGTAATCTGCATTATATTTGAAAATTAGACTATCCCCATTTCTTTTGCTTAATATTCTAGCCTCTAAGTAGCCATTGTTGCCAATATTTTCCCAAGTTTCTCTCTAATAATATGAGGATTTTGAGAGTATAGATTTCATCTCCCTCTGCTATCATATGTTTATATGCTAAATCTCTGTGTCTCTTCCTATTGCTTTTCACAAACCAAATGTTTCTATTCCAGGACATCCCCTCATGTTGAGATTGGCCTGGCTTGGCAAGAAAAAATATATGAGCACAGTTGAAATGTTTGGATATCATTTAGTCAGTAATATTATTGATCATTTATCATTGGCTAGTAGGAAACCTCTGACTCTTATATATGTTACAGGATGCCATGTGATGTGACTTGAGCAATTTCATTTATTCCCCCTACATTTAAGAGCGCAAGACATTTCCTCATGGTATATTATGTCAACTACGGTTAAAGAGGAATTGGAACATTAATTCTTTAACAGCTCAGTATTACTAATATGCCACTTAAATAGTAGGTTGGAAAAATGAGATTATTAATCCGTTTTAATGAACTTGCTTGTAACTGTTTGGTTACTGGTCGGCTTCAATTTTATTTCCTTTTCTGAAAAAAATAGTGAATAAATTTTAGGAGCTGGTTATGTCGTTATTGCTCATGAAGTTACCATCCATAGCAGGGTGTTTCAAACTGTTCCACAGAACCCTATGAGAACTTTATGGGGTTCTCTGAGAGACTAAGGTCATAAAATTCTAATGCGGCCAATTTTCTATTACTAAGAGTTCTGCTTTTCAATCACGTTCTGGGAATATATTGATATATTAACTAATAGTTAGCTGCCTGAAAAAGTTTGAAAATCTATGAGTATATAAATGCTTAGAATAGAATACACAGTTCATTGTCTCAGCACTCAGTGCAACTATGTTTTGATATTTATATTTCAGTCACCTAAGCTAATGTGATAACACCATTAAAATGTGTCAGACACTTAAACATTTTGAAGCCAGTAGCATATAACATAGATATTCTTAAAAGACTCCAACTGAAAAATATAGAAGTCCAATGATGCTAATCTCACTAAGCAGCAATGAGGAAAGTATATAACAGAAGAAATGTATGCATGCCTTAGTAGAAAGTACCACTACATTCAGTTCAATTGTTTGCAGATAAATGGGTATTAGATTGCACAGTGAAAAGGTTCCTTCCATCCCCTTGCAGTGTTATGTGGTCTCCTGGTAGATATTTCTGTGGGACATCTTTCATACCTTGAAATTGTGATTGTCAGCTGGCATTTAATTTGGTGGTTACCATTTCATCTGTATTCCTTCAAAACAAGTTTGTCCTAACATCATCAGTCCTGGGCGATAAAGTTAACCTTGTTTTGTGCTTTAGTGTTTAATGTCTAAGAAATCTTTAACAGGAAGGAAAGGAGCTGTAGTGTTATTACAATCTATAGTTGAAGTCATAAATGGAAACTCAGTTGTATGCAGTTAGCTGCTGGAGCA